ATTACAGCACGTGTGTCTTTTTTAATAACAATATCTTTACTTGATTTCATTGTGAAGCGTCATGTTTTTAGAGAGACACGGTGTTGGGTGTACTCTATTGAATGGCAAAAACGAGGATTGCCTCAGGCACACATTCTAATTTGGCTTATTGAAAAAAAACCACCTTCTAAAACTGATCAGATATCAGCAGAAATTCTTGATGTCACCATAGATCCAGTCTTATTTCAGATCATTGTCCAAAATATGTTTCATGCTCCGTGTGCATCACCATACATGTCTGTTTGAAAATGCACTAATGATATCCTAGAGAATTAACTGCTTTTTTTCACCATTAAATAAAATTTGCATTTCAAATCATAATCGCAAATGTCATTTACACACTTAAATACAAAATTCAAATTCAAATTGAAAGCGTTGCAATGCACGCAGGGTACAGCTAGTTATAAATAAAATATATTTAACTTACCTACATACGGATACATTAACTGTTTGATTTGTGCCAGGTAAAACTAATGGCATGGGTCTGACATCAACATTAAAATGAGACGTGTTGAAACGTGATAAAGTGTATTCAACAAATCCATCTAAGGAATAGTCTGGGGAATAATATAGTCTATATACAAGACGAGGAATCATATCAGAAGTAAAAGCTATTATGATGGCCTATAATATAAATGTTTTATTAATTTCCTGTAAATTTATAAAAGATTACATTTCTGTTATTTTGTAACTTAAGTAGTAATTTTTAATTAAGTAGTAATTTTTAGGTTTTATAACAAAATAATTAAAATTATAATATTAAATTAGATTATTTTTTCAAATGGCACAATGATATTAATAGTAAATATATTTTTAATATCTACAACACTACATTGAAATCAGCAGTCTTTTAAAATAACTGAAGGAGATTTAATTAGGGTTGCTGTGAAAATGATACAAAAATAACACTGGGCTAGATAAAGATATGAAAGCACAAAATAAAAAGCCGTCAGCTTATTTGTTAAATGAGCACAAAAATATAAAATAATATCAATTTGGCTCAGGGATAGAGCCCAGGTTCAAATATCAGCAGCATCAGTTTGATACGAATTCTATTCATGGCTTGCACTGACTACAGTGTTTGTGCAAACTAACCTCAGTAGCAGTTAGATCATGGGTCAAAATTCCATTGCTATCTGGCTAACTGTGGGAGGTTTTCCTCACCATATAATGCAAATGTAGGTTACTTCTATCAAAAAGTTCTTCACAAAGGCTAGTTTGTCCCAATGCTTGATCCAGGAGTTCATTTCTCTTCTGATTGAGTTCAAAATTACAAGATTGCAATGTTAATTATTGATTGTTGCAAACTGCAGAATATGTTGGCTGTTCAACAACGATCATAAAATAAAATAAAATTTGTAAGTAAGTTGATATTTTTATGTTTAAGCAAATTTTAACTTAAAATAAACACATATAGCAAGAAATAATTGTAAAGAAAAATTTGTTTCATTAATTATATTAGAATCAGATTTTCTATTTAATATAGTGGCATATTTAGAACTCATTAAACTTTTTCATTTATTAAAGTTTTAAACATTGTTAAGTGCAGAAAACAAAACATAATGTTATTTTAAAGCGTTTAATAAAAAAATTCAATAATAAACTTTGAAGTTCTTCATAAGTTGAAATATAACAAAAATAATATATATATATATATGTAATACAAAAATTATAAATACTTTTGTATTAATAAAAGAATTAAAACTCTTTCGGTTTCATAAAATGTCTTTGTTAAAGAGTAAGCGTAGAGATATTCTATTTTGGGAATTCAAGGCTGAAAACATACCAGTGAATTATAATTAGATTTATATTTCAAAGAAGGAGTTATTTTTTGAATCGTTCCCTCTTTCACTTCCATATTAGGAAGCAGTAAATGATTTTTGGTGATGAGTAAGGTTACAAGACTGTGCCTTTTTACCCCAATCTGTGTTTGTATAAAACGTAGGAACACTAGTTTTTGCGTGCCCTTTTCATCATGTTGTGATTCTCATAAGTTGTTCCGGAATTGTCAGAAGTCCCGCCCACCCCCTCCCTTGTGGAGTGCGGATGTGAACTGTTATAACCACCAGCATACCTTTATATAAAGCTATTGATAAAGTATTTTGCCTGACGACTGCATTAATAAAGATGAATACAACAATGATAACAGGAATGTAGCCCTGTTATTATATATATGAGAAGAGATTATTTTAATGCGGGGAAAGAAAGAAAAAAAAGAACTAAAAGTTAATAACTGTTTTTCAAATAAAAAGAAAGTAACTGAAAATAATAATGCAGCAGAAATATTTAACTCACTAAGAAAAAAATAATTAATGGACTTGAAAAGATTCTTCCGGACCCAGATAAAGTTAAAATGGAAAAAATAACAAAACAATAAAAAAAAAATTTCATTACTTAACTTTAAATTTTTGCATTTGGTACCTGTAAATTAATTATTTTGAATCTAAAAGAGACATTTTAAACATAATTATACTGTAAACCTTAATTTGGACAGTTTTGTCTACAATTTTGAATGATTTTATCTACATCACTTTATGATGGAAGTTAAAATTAAAATCTGCAGGCAGCAATTTAAAAAATTTTGTTAATAATAGGTCTTTTTGTATTCATAAGGAAAAATAGTTCAAAACTAAATAAGAGAAAAAAAGCAAACTTAATAACAAAAACTTCTAACTGTAAAAAACAAAAACACCCTTAAACGAATTAATAAATGGTCCACTACTATCTATTTCAATCTTAATAGGAAAACCCAATAATGATATTCAACATACAAAAAACAAAAACACTTAATATTTATTCAAACAGAATAAAATAAATGATATTAAGGGAAAAGAGGACACAAAAAGCATCAAGAATCTCATAATATAGAAAGAGCTAAAAATAATTAGGTAAAATTCTCTAAGTTTTTAAGGATAAAATATAAATTCAGGAATATACGAACTTAAACAGAAAAACTTAGCATCACTTATTTTTTGTGCAATATTTACTGTTAAAACTCAAACAAAATATACTATCTTTCAGTCCCAGTAAAAATATATTTTCAAATAAACAAAGATTTTTTAAAAAATTCTTCTTCATAATTATTGGGCTGTAAAAGAACAAATTAAACTAAAACTACTTGAATCAATTTGTAAACTAACTAAACATTAAAAAATATAAAGATCTAGTTACATTTGTTAATACAGCTAGCTTTCCAATGGAGTCCAGAATACGATACCAAATGCCTATTAAAATAGAAAATTAGTATAAAAAGAATTAAATTTCATATAATAATAATAATAAAAAAAAAATTGGGAATTATAAGCACAAGAATCAATGGAGTATAAGATTAAACAAGTATGTCACAGTTCTCAAGTAATGGAAAATTTACAGTTTTAACTTAACATTTATGTGAAAAAAAGTGTCAAATAAGAGAGTGCTATATTTATAAAAAAACAGAAACAATACTAAAATTAAAAAAAACAAACTTACTTGGTACCTCAGGATCATGAGAGGTTTGTCTATATAAAAAAATGACAATTCCTTGGTGGGATTTATTTTTTAGGAATATGAATTTGTTATTGCATTCTATTGAAGTCCATGAATTCATTTTATTGATCCTTATAAAGCACTATTATGTGGTGTGTATGATTAATATTTTCATTTTTTTAAAAACACTTAAAAGTTTATAGAATGCTCTGATGAATAGACTGTTTTGATAAAAGACATTCCTATGCATTATAATTTAATATATTACAACCAAAATAGGATATTGTCACATATCCTATTATGAAAAAGTATGATAAAGAGAATATAAAAAACTAATAAATAATACCAACCAAGTAATAACCAAAGCAACCAATATAACCAAACTTATATAACCAAAATAACTAAAACAGTCAAACCTATTTATCTCAAATCTCACGGGAAAGGCTAAAAATTTCAGATAAAGAGTTTTCGAGTTATACAGGAACTTTAAAAAAATTAAATGTAATTAAGAAATTGCATTAATTGTTTTTAGTTGAAAAATTGTTAGTAAATTAATTGTTTTTAGCAGAAAAAAATAGGTATTTCTTTAAATTAATTATACCACATACATCTATTTGCATAAAAAAATGTTAACATACATTTAACACCAAAAATAATTTTTCAAAGAGTTTTGATGTATAATCTATTTTGTTTCGATTATTCTTTTAAGGTTAGAAAGAGTGCAAATCCCTCAAAGCCAACATTTTTCTGGGATTCAATAGTTTATAAGAATTCTACAGCTTTTTCTACCTCTTTTGCATTCACTTTTGGTTCATCAATATGATCTTTAGCTTCTTCCGCTTCATCTAATATTCCTTTGACATATTTCCGCATCTGTCAATGTTCTGCATGTTTCCAGGCAGTTGTCCACTTGAAAAAATCTTCAAAATTAATGTCAACATTAAACTCAGATTTTATTGCATTCCATTCTGGCAAATCTGGCCCTGCATTTTCCGCGCCAACAGTTTCTTTTTCTTTACCGATGCCTTCAACCTCTTGTTCATTATCTTCACAGTTATTCTTAAAATCAGCTTTTTAAAACCATTTTAGCTAGTTTTTAGAGACACAATTCTCCAGGCAAAACAGTAATTCTGATAGCATCTAACATCTTTATTACTAACATCTTAACTTTTTTAATGGATGGCATCTACAAGTTTGTGAGCCAACTGTTTTCTGTAGTTCACTTTAATTATCCTTTGATCCATTGATTGCCATTATGAGGTGAAAATGATTTTCTATTCTTAGCTTTCTGATCTACGTTGAAAAGCTAACCACTGGTGGTCACTACTCATTAACTCCTCACTTACTGCCAGAATCATTGTATTCCTTTCTAGTTAAGGTAGTGCTGGTATAGTAATTAAAATTCCAAGAAACACCCCCGACCTGTTCATCTCTACTTCCTGTGGGTTCACGAAATTCATCTCTGCCTGCAAGTTCTACTGATAAAGAAAGTTTAGACATTTGTGATCTATTATTAGAAATTAGAGAACAGGAGGTTTTGAAGAAAAAAATTCAACATTAACAGAGAAAATACATTGATTTTAGACAGTAAATGTAGGGAATTTCAGAAACTTTGAGATATAGAGGCTTTTTGAGATAAAGAGGTTTGGCATAAACAGGTTCAACTGTACAACCGAAATAGAAAAACTCCATTTAAATTTTTATGCAATAAGAGAATTGTTAAATATATTGTATAATTTATAAGACATAAATTTAGAACAAACCAATATTTTGCACTCTAACACCAACTGGTCTTCTATAAGAGCAAACTAATTTTCTTGCATCCAGGCGAATTTCCAGAATGTTATTCAGCAATGCAAATAAGGGTGCTAAAGGAAATGCTGCCACAAATATAGTCACAAAGCCAAATTGTAAGACTGAAAAATTAAAAAAAAATTAATACATGAAACAGTTTTAGAAATAAAAAAAAAGTGTATCAGGCAGAAGGAAATAGATTCAATGTCACTAGCTAAATATATATACAAAGAAGCTTGGAGGTTGCGAATTCAGAAGTGGAAAACATATTTGCCTATCAAACAATAATTATGACTTTACAAAAAAATTTTAAAAAAATGACTATGTTTTCTCAAAACAAATAATATAAATTCCTGTTTTAGAAAAAATTTCATGATATTTAAAAACATTTAATCAAAACAGAAGAAACAATTTATTTTAACACAAAGAATGGACTTCTTAGTTTTATATTATTTAAAATAACAATTTGTTAAAAAAATGATATACTGAAAAATCAAATGAAAAACTTCTTCATAGTATTCCTTAAGCCTAAATAATAATTTATGAAATATTAACAAAATATAATTGCAATGGTTAGTAAAATTAAATAAATAATCCCAATAACTTGCAGCACTATGTTGGAATCTTGGCCATAAATTCAATTTCGACAACACCAAAATTTTTTTTGCCTATACATATGGTTACTAATATAAAATACTTACTCATCTCTAAATACTCAAAAAATAAATGAGTAGGTCCCCACTCTGCAAGTTCATAATC